CGAAGATCCCGCAATCAACAAGCCCGAAAAGAGCGATGCCTCGCCACTCACCGTTCTTCCGGTGCCATTGACGACGTCTCCGCCATTGCCTCTCGTGATTGTCAACGACCCTGCGCGGACAAGGTTGGTGAGAAAGGTGCTGGGTTTGGGTGTTATGTGTCGAGTTGTGTGTGGTGTGTGTGGTGTGTGTGGTGTGTGTGGTGTGTGTGGTGTGTGTGGTGTGTGTGGTGTGTGTGGTGTGTGTGGTGTGTGTGGTGTGTGTGGTGTGTGTGGTGTGTGCGGTGTGTGCGGTGTGTGCGAACCAGCGATATCTAGGAGAGCAGAATCAAAGCAGATCAAGAAGGCCATGCCCCCAGGGCCTGAGTCCTGCGAGCCGCCGACCACGGAACCGCCGTTGCCGCCCACCAACTCAACCGAACCGTACACATCGATCGTCGCGTCGCTAAGAACTGAAGAAGAGTGCCGTGTGATGAGAACAAAAGTGAAGACCACAACGACAAAGTGACACGAAACGAGAAAAGGTAACGAACCAAGGATACCCACAACCAGTGTGGGAAGGCCGCCTTGGGCGCCCACGCTGTTGCCGCCACTACAGCCGGTCACGCGCAGATCGCCGCCGATCACGACTTCGGCCTCCCACGTGCCCCACACAATCAGACCGCCCCCGGCCATCCCAATTCCCTCCGTGGCGCAGCTGCCTCCTGCACAATAGAAGTGGTGGACAATCAGATGAGTGTGTCCCCCTAATCTGGGGATTGCAACCGCCAGTCCGGGGGGGGGGCAAGTACCAGGTGCGCCCTCAGCGATCGAAGAAGCGGCGTTGCCGGAGAGGATGGACAGGTCGCCACCGACGCGCAGGTTCACGCCTCCTGTGGTTGGCATCGTACCAAATTGGCGGGTCGCTTGCTGGGCTCTTTTCGTCGGCCCGGTGAGGGAGGTGCCACTCTGCGGCGTAAGGAAGAGGTTGGCGGCGACGTTGGATCGAGTGAGCAATTGAAGAGAGAACTAAGCTTCGAAGAGAAGAGGAGCAGTACCAACACAGCGGAGGCGGTGCTAGGCGGAGCCGCCAGC